CCAGGGTTAAATAGTTTAAGGGAAACTGTTAGGGACAGTCAAATGAGGAAAAATGGCATATATCATACTCACTCTTTGTCTAGTAGCTGTTTAACTGTGAGGTACGCCCAAACCCTCTGGATACGGTCATCAGACACTGTTCCAGTGGATTCCACGGTTTCATTTGGATTAGAGAATATTATTCTTCTATTACTCTGTAACAATTCAAATGCAATGTAATGTCAGTATAGATACAGGGAAAACAGTTTAAGAAAATGACAACTGATGAGTCCTGTGAATCTATCTTTACCGAAATGGCCACAACTTGAGGGGTGAAGGTTTCAATATTGTTATCTGTGATCTCACCGGCCACCACAATCTCAGAACCATTATAATACTGGCTGAACTTAGTCTGGGTTAGATTGGTCCCACCCACATAGATCATTGTCACATCTGTTAATAGAGGTGTGGCCACCTCTTCATAGAAACCCTGTTGATATACAATGTAGACATTATACAAACTATTCTTGTTTTTTCTTTCAATCCTCTGCGATTTTTAAATCACATCATAAGAGTATTTACTGTATAAGGAAAATTACCTTCAGCTGTAAATCAGCATCAGAGTCTTCATATATCCGCCGTGCCACACCATTATTTTGCAGCGACATTTTCTCAAGGAACTTAAAATCAACATCAAAACCAAAACCAAGACAGTACAGTGGGAATTTGCCTGCAATAGCCTGTCTTACATTTGACTGAATATTCTCCAGGTTTGTCACCCCTGAAAAGATACAAGATATACCCAGATAGAGTCAGAAATAACAGTCTCAATAATGCTAAAAAAAAAAAAACTTGATAAAAAAGCTTAAAACGTATAACTAAATTAAATACAGTGTTTAATCTAATCCCCTATTTCTTGAAGTATTCTTGCACATTTATGTAAATGTGTGCTTTATTATAACCTGAGGTTGGGTCTCCATCTGTAAGAAGTATCAGAATAGATGCTGAACCTTCTCTGCTATGATCATTCAGCATACGTGCTCCTTGCAACACTGCTTCATTTATATCTGTGGCTGAAATTCAACAACAAACAAAAAAAGTTTCAGTCCAGACATTTTTCTGTCAAGTGTTCATATTCCAAAATATATATGTTTACTGCAACTTCTCACATCCTGTAGCTTGTATATTGCTTGCAAAGTTTTTGGCGCTTTCCACGTTTTTGCTGTTGGCCTGAACGAGTTCTCGCTTCCAGTGCAAAATGTTGCCATCAAAAGTGATCAGACCAAAGTGATCATCTTCTGCCAGATCATTCAAAATGTGGATTAATGCGGTCCTAGTCTGGGCAAAAACATGTTACATTTTTAAAATGATTTAAACATATTGCATGTTTTAGAATTATAGAGTGAAAAACCACCACAAAAGTGTTGATAAAAGTGTTTTCCCTTTTCCTGATTTCATATTTTTTCCATATTTGTCACAGTTGCATGTTAAAGATCATTAATTTAATTTTAACATTAGGCATAGATGACCCAAGTAAATGCAAAATGCCATTTTTAAATGATCATGATTCAAAAAATAAATAAATAAATAACCACATGTATCTGTTTCCATGTGTAAAAGTAATTGCCACCCTCCTAATTAAATGTTCATGAATTAACTAAGCTTAACCAAGCAAAGGTGATTTCCACACCCAGGCCTGGTTACTTCCTGACATATTGAATCAAGAAGCCACTTAAACAGAATATGTCTGACAAAGTGAAGCGAGCTAACAAATATCAACAAACAACACATCAAGCCCTAAACTAATTAATCTTGAGAACACCTGAGAAACAAAGTTACTGAGATATATAAGTCTGTAAAAGATTTTCTGTTTGTGCGTTGAAGCTCAAGCATACTAAAATTATGCCGCACGGCAGTGATCCAAAACACACAAGGAAGTCCACCTCTGAATTACTGAAAACAGAAATAAATGAGTAAAATAAATAAACAATTCATGTCAGGACTTAAATCCCTTTAGATGATTTGGCATGGCCTTAAACTGACCGTTGTAAACCCTCAAGTGTGGCTGAAAGAATTCTGCAAAGAAGAATGGTCCACAGCAATGTTAAAGACTCAGTGCAAGTTATCTCAAAGACTTGATCATACTTCTTTTTAGCCAAACTACATTGGCTCCCTGTTAAATATCGTATAGATTTTAACATTCTTTTGTTCACTTTTAATATTATAAATAATTTAGCGCCCAGCTATCTTTCTGATCTACTCCACTCATACAATCCCAACAGAGCACTTAGATCGTCCAACCACAGGCTCCTAGTACAACCTAGGACTCGAATGAAGTCGAGAGGTGACCGGGCCTTTGCATCCGTGGCACCTAGACTCTGGAATAACCTTCCTGTTCATATTCGTACTGCCGAGTCTATCCAGTCTTTTAAATCACGTCTTAAAACTTATTTTTTTACTTTGGCTTTTGATTCTGTCTAGCTGGCTGGTCTAGCTTGTTGTGTTGTTACCTATTGTTTGTTGTCCTCTTTTATTGTTTGTTTTAACTGTCTCATGCTTTTACTGACTGTGAAGCACTATGGCCAACACTGTTGTTTTAATATGTGCTATATAAATAAATTTTGATTTAATTTGATTTGATTCTTGCTGCCAAGGCCAATTATTAGTTTTAGAGTGCAATTATTTTTTTCACATAGAGCCGGTTTCATATGCTGTGTGCGGCAGGCAGGATTGGAGGACCCAAAATGCAGTCTCGACAAAACTAAACTCAAACCCCAATTTAATTGCTGGAATCCAAGATAACAAAACAAACTGGAAAAAACATGAACTAAGCAGGCAGGCCGAACACACGGCAAGAAAGGAGGGAGAATGTGACGCTGAACAGAGGGAAACACAGACACTAAATACAAGAGAGAAAAAGGGCAAAGAGGAAACACCTGAGAAACACAGCTGGCAACTAATGAAGCAGACAAGACGGGAGAGAAGCAAAACAGAACATGACACACAACAACAGGAGACTATCAAAGTAAAACAGGAAGTACAGGGAAAACACACACACACACACACACACACACACACACAGATGTCCAAAACCAGAAATACTAAGTAAACTCAGGAGCATAAGCATACTAAACTAAGAAATAAACGATTCAGAGAAGATTGAACCTCAACCTCAAAACAGTAAAAACAAACCACTGGGTCAACGACACAGGTACCCTAACAGGTACCCTTTCCACTTTTGGAAAATGTTTTTTCCAAAATAAATAAACTCATCATCATTTAAAAACAGCATTTCGTATTTACTTGGGTTGTCAGTATCTAATACTAAAATCAAATAAATCTAAAGCATGTTGGTGTGATAAAGATGCAAAAATCAGGGAGGAGGGCAAATATAGACCCTTCAAAGAATTTACCTGGAGTATTTTTCTGCCACGCATTGAGCCACTCTGATCAATAACAAAGACGACATTTTTTGGCACTCGAGGAAGATCAGATGGAGCAAAGTGATGAACAAAGTATCCATCAGATTTCTAAGGAGCAGTGAGAAGAAGGTTCTTTGTTCAAAAGATAATTTAAGGAGCAGAAAGATATAATATTAATTCAGCATTTCTTTTTCTCTTTGTGTGTACATTGATAATTGACCAGGTTTTACCTTGATGTGTCCTAGTCCATTGTCCCTGTTGACATCATAAACAATAACTAGATCTCCATTCATACCCTGATCGCTACAGCTGTCACACATCTTCTGTTGGTCAACTGTTGGATAGAAATACACCCACGCCTGGAAACAGAATGAATTTAATTCTTTAGACTCATGAGAGACAGAGAGGTCAGTGATTTTAATTTCTGTTTACTTGATAAAAAAAACTGTGTCCTTTTCTTCCAAACCTTTGATTGCATTAATCTGAGACATGAGAATGTACAAGCTCAATTTCAAAATATTCTGCACAATGTGTAAGATCTTAATATAAACAAAACTTTCAAACAACTTACACTCCATATTAAAGAATAAAAGTCAGCAGCTTAAAATTCAGTTTTCTAACAAGTCTAATTACACTAAAAAATATTTGCAATAGGTCTAACTGGGCATAAAAAGAGAAGTGGGGAATTTGAGCAGTAAAGATGCTCTCACCACTTTCTCAAAGACTGTCTAGGAAACTAGACAGTTATAATATGATATATTAAAAGATTCAGAATATAGAGACATATGTTTTTACTCAAGGACCAAATGTTTGAATCAATATTTTATCATTGTCCATTCAGTTGGCACAACATCTAAAATAGACGAGACTTTTTAGTAGCAATCCCTGCATGAGCTCAGGAACACTTGAGAAAACCATTGTCAGCTAATATGGTTTGTTGTTGTATACACAAATTTAAAACAAAGAAAAAGAAAAATCAACAAGATTGTAAAACACTTATTTCTTATTTAATTTCTTATTTGAATTTCTTATTTCGTATTGAATGCGGACTGACGTGATAAGAAACGCAACTGTCATGTACACATGACATGGATAACTTGTGTATTTGTACATTTCTGTGTAGCTTCCACCATTTAATCCTTGCCTCTTCCTTCCCTCGCTTCCTCTTCCTGATTTTCAAAGGCATCCTACAACCTACCATCCTATCCTGATAGTATCTATTTTATTGTCTGTTGTGGCAGGACGTAGGTTCACTTAATGCTTTACAAAACTGAGAATTCCAATATACGGTACCTCTTTATCTGTGTGTGTTTTAGTGATGGCATTAGCGAGGGCTTTGGTGCTCAGGCCTCCTTTCACATCGATGAAACTGATGCCAGCTTCCTCTTGAATGTGCACATCCACCTGGTATAAAGTACAGTAAATATAAGATCTAGTCATGGCTTACCTCAGCATTGTTTTCCTAAACAATCACTGAACAGATAGCAATAACACAGTCACCTTGAAGTCACTGACAGGCTGCATGGGTCGAGCATGAATTTGCAGCTCGTACTTGCCACGTGTTCGTTTCATTAATTCCTCATATGTGAGTTCAAATGTGACCTTTTTGTGAGCAGCCACAGTTACAGAGGTCTTAAATTCCTCCAGAGTCCTCCCTACAGAACTAAAGCAGAAACAATAATCACATCCTTAAATAGAATGTCACAGCAGGTTATTGCTAAAATGAGAACATTAAAAAAAACAGAACAAAAAAACCCCAAAACCTTCTGGGGGTAGTCCTCTACCACCTAGTCTTACCTCTCCCAGCCCTCCCTCTTCCCTACTCATACAACATCATAGTCATACAACATGTCCTTCACATACATAGGATCTTGAAGGGAGGGGGTCATGGATCGCATAGGTTACAAAGAGTGAAGCCATTCATGTGGCTTTGCCGGCTGTTCTGCGCAATGAGTCCTCTGGTCATGAGTGTAATTAGCTACACCAATGTTTATTAACACTATAGTTTTCACATGGTCATATTCATCCAGTACACTCACACTCCACAACACACCAACCCAACTCAACACTGAGTGGAAAGAGGGGACATCTCCCCACACCCTTGTTTCAAACACCCTGCCTGTGATGGTGGTATCCAGGAGGTTTGTGGTGCACTTTGCCTTTGTCCCGGTTGGTCCTGTAGGACTTTCACCCTTTGGCCCATGGTTCCCCCTAAAAAACTTGTTCTGAGAATTGTTTTTTTATGTCAAGTTATGACTGAACTCAAATACCTGACAAGTCCAGCACTTTCACCACGGGACACAGCTTCAGAGTACTGTTGCTGAGCTTGCTCCTTAGCTTTCACAACACCATCATAAACTTGGCCATCGATAAACCTGGAGGACCAAGAGAAGCCCTGGTGTAAATACACACTATTGAGTATCCTGTAATTTGTTTTTCACTGTAGAATTCTTTATTTGCAAAAGTCTCTGGATGGTTACAAATTATTTTAACTTCACACACATTCGAAATTTACTGATGAAGGCATTCTTGGGAATCCGAACATGAAATTCAATTTCCTTTGACTCGTCCATACGATTGGCCACACGGCTTGTGATGACAGTGGTGGCATAACGACTGGTCACTGTGGAGTTGATGTGAAAGCTGTAGATGTCCCAGTCATCCTGAGCAAACACAGGAGGCACATTTTTAAAAAACTGGCTTGGGTGATCTTATTGGTTGACCAAAGGTCAGATGTATTTGAAAAACAATGTGTTGGTGGATGACATCAGTGAAATCTAATTGGTTTAGCTGCAGTAACACCCCATTCTTTTTATTTTTCCTCTAGTTTCAACTATTACATTCTTTCCCTAATGAGTTGATTTCCCAGACCGACTGGGAAACAGAAGTTACCAAAGTCAGAATAATATTACAATATTTAAGTTAAAAAAAAAGAATAGACAATAAATATTTACTTAATGGGACTTGGCATTTTTAACCTTAACTTAGAATTTACCAGTACCGTTATCAATACCAAGTTTTAACTATTAAAATTTGCTCAAATTTCCTTTTGACTTCGACCCAGAGCAAGAATAAAGTAAATATGCAAACAGAGATTGACCAAAATTCCTTCAATTCACAAGACATTATGCGATCTTACTGTATATTAGCTAGCTAAAGACTTTAACCTTTTATTTTTGCCTCCTCAACATCCGTAATGCAAACACGCACACACACACA